CCGGTGCTTCCAGGCGCGACCACGTGCCCCGGAATCGCCCCTCTGCCACCGCCGCCGCCTCCTGTCATCGAGCGCCCACCCCCGTCCTTGTGCACGGGGACCCTGCTGAGCTCCCAGGGCCCAGGCCACAGGGGCTGGGCCCTGGGCTGCACCCAGGAGCCGCCCAACCCCACCTGGAGCCTGGACATGAGAGAGGAGGCCTGTGGCAGCGGCCGCGTGGATTGCGGGGGCGGGACTCCCCCTGGGCTGGAGGGTGGGGTCTGTGTGACCACGGGCAGGGGCCCTGCGTGGGGACAGTGAGACCTGCACGGTCCTGGGCCCGGAGTGGGGACGGGAGGGGTGAGTCCGGGCTGGAGAGAGTCCCCAGGGCCCACCGCAGCCCTAAACAGGCTGGTAAGAGCTATCCTGAGTGGCAGGACAGGAAACAAACCGTTAGGCTACAGGCTCTCCTGCTTGTCCTCATGTCACCAGACGCCCAAGGGTTTTTTTCCACCTCAAATTAACCAGTGAAATCACCCATTTTGAAAACCTCAGTTGATACACACTTCCGAGAAATCAGGAGAACCGCAGAGAGGGAGGGGCCCGAGCGCTGGCCCAGCACCTAAAACCACCGGGCTCGGGGCTCTGCTTCAGGAAGCATCTACCTTCTTCACTTGGGACCACACCTGCCCACCAAAGCCAGACATGATCAAGGAGGAGCACGAGGTGGCCATCCTGGGGGGGCCCCAGGGCTCAGGAGCCGTGATGTCCACCGTGGTCAACATGCAGCCGGAGACCGTTGTGCCCGACCACATCGTCTGGTCCCTGTTCAACACGCTCTTCTTCAACTTCTGCTGCCTGGGCTTCGTGGCGTTCGCCTACTCGATTAAGGTGGGTGGGTGCATGGGGGCCCACCAGGGTCCTCCTGCCCACGTGGCCCTGGGGTTCGGGGAGCCCTTCCGCGTGTGAGTGCACGTGTGTGTACAGGTCGCGATGAGGCTGCCCGGGGTGCACGGGGGTGGCAGGGTCAGCTTTGTCCCCAAGACTCCAAGCAGTTCCCTACGGACCGTCCCAGAATTTGGGTCTCTCAGAAAGAACAAAGGGACTCCCACACCCTGACCCCTGGGGGGGCGAGGCCAGCAGAGGGGCCAGGCAGGGGGAGGCGGAGCCCGGGGGCCCCCAGAGCAGCCGAGAGGCTCTGAGGGAGGGAACCCCCGGCCCGGACCTGCTCAGGCGCCAGGGGACAGGCACGGGAGGGTCCCGATGTGGCCGAAGGGCGGGCGGAGGTGCCCTGGGCAGGCAGCAGCAGGGAGGGCCCGAGTCCCAGCGGCTGGCCCTCCCCAGGCCCCGCGCCAGGCCCCCCTCACCATCTCTTCTCCCCCCCAGTCCAGGGACCGGAAGATGGTCAGCGACGTGGTTGGGGCCCAGAGCTACGCGTCCACCGCCAAGTGCCTGAACATCTGGGCCCTGGTCTTGGGCCTCCTTGGGACCATAGGGTGCATCGTGGTTCTGGTGGTAGTGGTCTCGTCATTCGGTCAAGCAATAGCGCAGGCTGCGCGGGGCCACAGAGGCTACTAGTGGCTTCCCACGGCCGGCGGAACAAGTCCTCCCCACCCACTGGCTTCCTTGTCGTGTTTGCTGGCATCGTGTCTGTCATCGCAATTTCGTCATTTGACTGGCTTGCTGATAACGTGGAAGAAATGGTGACGTCGTGAGGACTCAGGAGGCTTCCATGGTTGCCCAGAGTCCGAGTTCGCGCCCCTCTCCCCGCTGCTCCCGCGCACACTTGTCTACAACTGGATTCAATAAAGGACACGTCCCCAGCCTTGTCTGCGTTTCCCTGGGGAGGGTCCTGCGAGAGTCCCAGCCTGCTCCGGGGACGGAGCCCACAGCCCCCCGCCCGTCCCACCTGCCTGCTGCCCTGGGGGCGGGGAGGGGGCCTGTCCTCAGGCCTCACCCGCACCTGGCCCCCAGCGGGGGCGGGGCAACAAGTGGGAAAGGCTCGGGGTGGGGGTCCGTCCTCCCCTGAGGTCTGAGCCCTGGCCCAGGACGGGTTCATCTGAGGCACCCGGCCCGGGGCCAGGACGCCCTCGGCCCCCGGCCCCCACCTGCCCCGGAAGCTGCAGGGGGCAGGACTCGGGAGCCCGCAGGCCACCCGTCCAGGGGAGCCCGGAGGCTCCCTCCTCTTGGGGGGAAGAGAGACCCGGGCCTGACCTGGAAGGAAGCTCCGCACCTGGTTTTGTGGAGGCTTCTGCACGTTGGGCACTAAGGCGCGGCCCAGGGCAGACCCTGGCCACAGCCGCGCCGGCCAAGCCTGCCCCTTCCCCCGCGGGCCCCAGACCCCAGGCGTGGGCCCCTGCGCCCCTCCCCGCACGCCCTGATCTGCCCCCAACAGCAGCCCTCTGACTCGCGGAGGCGGCTGGTGGGGTGGGAATCCCAGGAAGAGCCTCAGGATCTCAGGCTGTTCGGGGTCCGGCGTCTAACAGGAGCAGGGTCAGGCCAGGGAAGGCGTCCAGCACAGGGCGGGACGCTGGCGGACTTGTCCCTTTGGGTCATGGAAGGATTTGCTCCTGGGAGGGACAACCCGGGGCGCCGTCCTCTGACCGCCACCCCGGCCCGGGTGCCCGCGGCGGGCCGTGCAGCCCCTGCCAGGCAGCGGTCGGGGAGGGCGCTCAGCTCTGCAGAGGCCGAGACTGGGGACGAGGGCGCCGCCTGGTGGCAGCTCTCGCGCGGCCAGCGAGCCAGCCGCGCTCTCCAGCTCTGGGAACAGGGCCTGGGCGCCCGAGGTCACGCAGGCGCCGTGCAGGCCCGTTGGAAGGGCCTGGGGGCCGCCCGCCGGGCTCGGGAGGGCTCAGCCCCGGGCTCCCTGAGTCCTGAAGCCGCCCCAGCAGCTCCGGCTGCGGCGTGGGCGGACGAGGCGACGCCGTCAGCGAGGTGGCCGTGGCCAGGACGCTGGCCAGGGGTGGGGTGCGAGGCTCCGGGCTTGGGCTCCTCGTGGAGCGAACGGGCCCCCGGGAGGGAGGGGCGTGCCCCAGAAAGGTGGGCGTGGCCTGAAACGCGCGGAGAATGGTAGGGCGGGGCCGGAGTTTGGTGGGCGGGGCCCCTTCGGCGGGCACCCGAGTTGGCCAGAGGAGCAGCCGAGGGCGCATATGGATGTGGCTTAGAGGGGTGCGCGGAAATGAATTCAGGCGTAGGGGCAAAGGGGAGCGGCGGCAGGGTGCCGGAGTGTGGGCGGGGCCAAGCAGGGTGCGGCGGTGGCGATGCTGATGATTCCCCAGACGCCCCCAGGAGAGCGGGTTCTTCTGCCCTCGTGGCTGCACGAAGACCTGGAGGAAGACCGGGATGCGGCCTCGGACGCTGCCCAAGCCGGTGTCAGCCCTATGCCGGGCGATGGCGGAGAGCAGGACGCCGTGCTCCTGCAGAGAGGATGACCCTAGCGCTGCGCTGAGAATCGGGGTCCTTCTGACAGCAGGGCAGCAACCAGGCGGGATGGGGGTGTGGGCTCAGTCTCAGGGGCGGGTTGGGACTCTCCCAGGACACTCCCCCGGCAAACGCACAGCACTGTCGCATGCATGTCCTTTATTGAATTCAGTTGTAGACGCGGGCACATAAGCAGCTGAGAAAAGGGTGACAGCCTCAGGCTATGGGCAGCCACGAGAAGCCTCCAAACTCCCCAAGACGTCGAGTTTCTTGTATGTTTTCAGCGATCCAATCAAATGATGAGAAAACGACCTGCACTATACTCCGCGGCTGCACGCCAGGACCGCCTCAAACGCCAGAACAATGGATCTCCCGGTCCCAAGGGTGCCCAAGACCAGGGCCCGGATGTTCGGGACATCCTTTTCCTCCTCACCATCCCGAGGACTGCATGTTACCCGAAGTACTTGTAGAGGCGCCAGTCCCTGCCATGAGGATGGCGTTTGGTCCTCTCCCCCCTGGAAAGGGGCCTTGCAGGGGACTTTCTTACAAAAAGAAAGAACAAAACAGGCAAGGAAATGCATGTTTCAGCACCAGAAACTTTCTTCCAGGTCTGCTCGCCTGGTCTGAAACCCCGAGGTCCGATGCGGTCAAGCAGAGGCTGGGAAGTGGGCCACGCTCTCGGGGAACCTGGGCGGCACCGGCCCTGCCAGGCTGCGGGGGCCCCCTTTGCCCTCCTGCCTGTCCCTCTGGGAAAGATGGCCCAGCAGATGGCCCACGGGGCACCCTCTGCAGGGGCAGCGCTCTGCTCAGCCACCGCCTCCCTGCTTTGTGTGAGTCCCCTGCGTGGCTTTTGCTTAGAAGACCCACGTGCTTGCTTTGTAAGAAGAGTGTGGAAAGAAGCAGTGACCTCCAGGTGTCAGGGAGCCGCAGTTGTCCGGGCGGCGGGGCCTGCAGAGGTGGCCCCTTGGCGGCACCTGTAGGCTTGGCCTTCCCAGGTTGCCATGGGCCTTGGCAGGGTGGGTGTCAGTTTTCGGGGCAGATCAGGGCGTGCGGGGAGGGGCGCAGGGGCCCACGCCTGGGGTCTGGGGCCCGCGGGGGAAGGGGCAGGCTTGGCCGGCGCGGCTGTGGCCAGGGTCTGCCCTGGGCCGCGCCTTAGTGCCCAACGTGCAGAAGCCTCCACAAAACCAGGTGCGGAGCTTCCTTCCAGGTCAGGCCCGGGTCTCTCTTCCCCCCAAGAGGAGGGAGCCTCCGGGCTCCCTGGACGGGTGGCCTGCGGGCTCCCGAGTCCTGCCCCCTGCAGCTTCCGGGGCAGGTGGGGGCCGGGGGCCGAGGGCGTCCTGGCTCCGGGCCGGGTGCCTCAGATGAACCCGTCCTGGGCCAGGGCTCAGACCTCAGGAGAGGACGGACCCCCACCCCGAGCCTTTCCCACTTGTTGCCCCGCCCCCGCTGGGGGCCAGGTGCGGGTGAGGCCTGAGGACAGGCCCCCTCCCCGCCCCCAGGGCAGCAGGCAGGTGGGACGGGCGGGGGGCTGTGGGCTCCGTCCCCGGAGCAGGCTGGGACTCTCGCAGGACCCTCCCCAGGGAAACGCAGACAAGGCTGGGGACGTGTCCTTTATTGAATCCAGTTGTAGACAAGTGTGCGCGGGAGCAGCGGGGAGAGGGGCGCGATCTCGGACTCTGGGCAACCATGGAAGCCTCCTGAGTCCTCACGACGTCACCATTTCTTCCACGTTATCAGCAAGCCAGTCAAATGACGAAATTGCGATGACAGACACGATGCCAGCAAACACGACAAGGAAGCCAGTGGGTGGGGAGGACTTGTTCCGCCGGCCGTGGGAAGCCACAAGTAGCTTCTGTGGCCCCGCGCAGCCTACGCCATTGGATGGTTGAATGACAAGACCACCGCCACCAGAACCGCGATGCACCCTATGGTCCCAAGGAGGCCCAAGACCAGGGCCCAGATGTTCAGGCACTTGGCGGTGGACGCGTAGCTCTGGGCCCCAACCACGTCGCCGACCATCTTCCGGTCCCTGGACTGGGGGGGAGAAGAGATGGTGAGGGGGGCCTGGCGCGGGGCCTGGGGAGGGCCAGCCGCTGGGACTCGGGCCCTCCCTGCTGCTGCCTGCCCAGGGCACCTCCGCCCGCCCTTCGGCCACATCGGGACCCTCCCGTGCCTGTCCCCTGGCGCCTGAGCAGGTCCGGGCCGGGGGTTCCCTCCCTCAGAGTCTCTCAGCTGCTCTGGGGGCCCCCGGGCTCCGCCTCCCCCTGCCTGGCCCCTCTGCTGGCCTCGCCCCCCCAGGGGTCAGGGTGTGGGAGTCCCTTTGTTCTTTCTGAGAGACCCAAATTCTGGGACGGTCCGTAGGGAACTGCTTGGAGTCTTGGGGACAAAGCTGACCCTGCCACCCCCGTGCACCCCGGGCAGCCTCATCGCGACCTGTACACACACGTGCACTCACACGCGGAAGGGCTCCCCGAACCCCAGGGCCACGTGGGCAGGAGGACCCCGGTGGGCCCCCACGCACCCACCCACCTTCACGGAGTAGGCGAACGCCACGAAGCCCAGGCAGCAGGTGTTGAAGAAGAGCGTGTTGAACAGGGACCAGACGATGTGGTCGGGCACGACGGTCTCCGGCTGCATGTTGACCACGGTGGTTGTCACGGCTCCTGAGCCCTGGGGCCCCCCCAGCACGGCCACCTCGTGCTCCTCCTTGATCATCTCATAGGGTGGCAGGACTCCGGCGCGGGGGCCAGTGAAGAAGCGCTGGGCGTTCTGGTTCATGGTGGGTGAACAGCGAGGGTCTCCTCAGGGTTTCCTGCCGGTGTGGGCTCAGCGAGCGCTTCCCCTCCAGCTACTTTCGATTTCTCCAAAGCTTTCTTTTCCCGGACTCTATGCTCCTGGGGGCGGTGGCTGCGGGTGTCTGGTTACACAGGCGGGGGGGGGGGATGGCGGGGGGGGCGGGGGGCGGCGGATGAGGGGAGGACGGCTGGGGGGGTCTGGGGGGCGCCCTGTCCCTGCCCCGGACCCCAGTTCCTCACCCCGCCTGTGAGGGGCCCTGGGGACATTTCTCCAGTGTTGAGTCGTCCTCCTGACGGGGAGCGGTGTTCCCTAGAAGTACGCTTTTTGGACCTAGGGGTTTTTCAGGTTTATTAGTTTTCGAAAGCAGAGAGGCTGTGAGGTGAATAGGGTGCCGTGGGCAGCCGGACCCTCTCAGGGAGCCCCGGCCGGGCCCGGAGGAGGGGCCTCCGCTCCAGAGGCTCGCTCAGTGCAGGAGAGGGGACCGCGGGTTGGGCTGAGGCCCTCGCTCCTGGGCTTCGCCTGGTCGTTTGCCTGAACCGGCCTCAGACACCTGCCTCCCCACCCCCGGTTTTGCGTTTCGCTGGAGATGACAGTGAAGGAGGGTCTTGGACGTCCCGGGCCGTTCAGGTTTCCGGATCTCCCTGGTGTACGCGGAGGTGCTCCTTCACTAAACCCTCGGGTTCCTACTCTTCCTCTGTGTTTAACGCAGGGGTGTCCCGGCCAAGAACTTACAAGTGTCAATGAATCCAAGTTTTTGTGCCTGAGGCTTTGAAAGGCCAAATCCCAAAAGGTCAGAGTTTGGGGTACGGAGTTTGCACGCCTGAGAAGACACCACCGAGACGCTGGGAGACCGAACGGCCCCTCAGCTCTGTCCTGCTCGCTGGACTAGGTCCGGGGGCTGGAGGGGCTGGGGAGCAGGCGAGCGGGGTCCGGCGGACGGGCTGCCACTGGAGGGCCTGCGGCCTGGCCTCCGGGACAGCAGACCTCGGCTTGCGAAAGGGTGCACGTCCAAGGTCCGGCCACACGCTGGTCCTTGCGTCTTGCGGTGCCGGCACACAGATTCTGGTTCTGGGTGCAGCCGGAGGTCCGCGTGGAGGTCTTGGTCGGCTGTCTCTGAAATCCTCTCAGCGTCTCGTTACGTTGGATGGAGCCATTGTGAGCTGGTCCTGCACTTCTCGGCCTCACGAGAAACTCCGCGTCACCCGGGAGGAGGGGGGTCCCCGGCCGTCCGTGTGGCGTTTCCAGCGCCTGGGAGAGGAGGCCTGGGACCCGCGCTTTCACCCCGAGGCCTGGGGTGCGGGGAGGGTCCACGTGCCCACAGGAGCAGCCCACAAATAACTTCGGGTGAGCGCCCCAGCTTTACCTAACTGCCTCTTGTCACACGTGTGTTTTACAACACGATGAACAAAGGGAGTCTGGAGCAAGATAGGGATTGGGGCTGACAGACCCGCCCCCACCTCAGTGTGGGGCCTCACACCGCCCCCCAGGAGAGCTGGCACCCCACGTACCCGTTGATCCGTCTGTAACGTTTTTCTCCCGTCGCGCCGACTCCACCAGTCCTCAGAAGGAAGGGTGCGCTCCCTGAGCGCTGGCGGCTCAGGCCTCCGGGGGCCTTGCCCCGCACCCGGCCTTGCTCTCCCGCTGTGCCCCGAAGCTCTGCCTTCCCCGCCCCCGGCCCCCGCCCGCGCTCCTGCTGGGCCGGGTCGCCTACAGGCTCCCAGTACCGGCTTCTCCGCGAGCGCCAGCCAGAAGAGCCAGGGCTCTGCCGCCATCTTGCCGACCCCGACGCGGATTCGGGGCCGAAGGAAGGCTTGCGGTCTGCACGTGCCGCCTCGCGCGTCCTGCGCAGGCGGAGAACGCGGAGGAGCAGGACTTTCAGTCTTTAATTTTTTATTTGCACTTTACTGAATTCTATTTTTAATCGTTTATTTGTATTGTACTTCCCCGCCATTCATCGCCCTCCCGCCCTCTGCCACCTCTGCCCACCCCCCAAGAGCCCCGAGCTGTCAGCCTGCTCTTCATCTGTGAGTCTGTCCCTGTTTCGTGTGTTAGTTCAGTTTGTTCATTAAATTCCACATATGACTGAAACGCCAACGTTGTCACGTGCAGTGCACTTTATTGGGTTCGGCGGCGGGCAGGGGGCAGGGACAAAGTGCTGTAGGAAGGGGTGGGCGTGGGGGCAGAGCCAGGAGCGGGAGGGGAGACGTGGTCCGCCGGCCGTGGGCAGCCACTACAGGCCTCCGTGGGCCTGCGCGGCCTGCGCTATTGCGCTGAGGACGCCTGGCAACAGCAACGCCAGAACCACGATGCACCCTATGGTCCCAAGGAGGCCCAAGACCAGGGCCCAGATGTTCAGGCACTTGGCGGTGGACGCGTAGCTCTGGGCCCCAACCACGTCGCCGACCATCTTCCGGTCCCTGGACTGGGGCGGAGAAGAGATGGTGAGGGGGGCCTGGCGCGGGGCCTGGGGAGGGCCAGCTGCTGGGACTCGGGCCCTCCCTGCTGCTGCCTGCCCAGGGCACCTCCGCCCGCCCTTCGGCCACATCGGGACCCTCCCGTGCCTGTCCCCTGGCGCCTGAGCAGGTCCGGGCCGGGGGTTCCCTCCCTCAGAGCCTCTCGGCTGCTCTGGGGGCCCCCGGGCTCCGCCTCCCCCTGCCTGGCCCCTCTGCTGGTCTCCCCCCCCAGGGGTCAGTGCCTCCGAGGATCTTTTCCTTTTTCTGGACCGCACTGTGTGAGGACGTGATTTCTCTGCCTGGGATGGAAAGGAGGGCCCCCGGGGATGGTGCCGACCCTCCCCTCCACAGGCGCGTCCGCGTAGCCCCACTGCGGACTCTCGCTGGGAATGAGCCCCACTGGACACGCGCACACGGGCACCCAGAATACGGCTCTCGCTTGAAGTCCCACTCCCCAGGGCCACGTGGGCAGGAGGACCCCGGTGGGCCCCCATGCACCCACCCACCTTCACGGAGTAGGCGAACGCCACGAAGCCCAGGCAGCAGGTGTTGAAGAAGATCGTGTTGAACAGGGACCAGACGATGTGGTCGGGCACGACGGTCTCCGGCTGCATGGTGACCACGGTGGACCTCACGGCTCCTGAGCCCTGGGGCGCCCCCAGCACGGCCACCTCGTGCTCCTCCTTGATCATGTCTGGCTTTGGTGGGCAGGTGTGGTCCCAGGTGAAGAAGGCAGACGCTTCCTGAAGCAGAGCCCCGAGCCGGGTGGTTTTGGCTTGGAGCCGCTCCCTCTCTAGGTTAGTTTTGATTTCTCAGAAGTTTAAAAACCCTGTTCCCCCGGGGTTTCTTACAGGAGGGCAGAACAGACGGGGAGTGTCACATGTCACTGCAGTGAGGGGGAGGGAAGGCCGTGCCCGCGAGTGAGTTTCCTGTCTGCCCCTCCGTCAGGACTCGCTGCCTCCCGGGGCGCTGCGGACCAAGAGGGGCACGTGTGAAACCTGGCAACCGCGGGGCAGGCCTGGCGGGCTCCCAGATGGAGAGTCACCGCAAGGAAGGGTCTGAAATCAAAACTTCCTAATGAAGAGCAGCCATGTCCGAGGCTGGTGTTTTTCCAGTACAAAGATCGATCTTTTCCTTCATGGAGCCTGCCTCTTGTTTTTGACATCTATGATAAGGAACCTTTGAAATGTCAAATTTCCTCTTTCCAGACCCCTCAGCCCAGAGGCCGGGCACCAAGACCACAGGTCCCTCTTCTGTTATTGCCGCCTGTTAACAGTTAACTGCTACCCAGCCGTTACCCACTCCCGGAGAAGGAGTGTGTGTCTGTCCTTACACTTTTTATCCAACCCCTGAAGTCCCCTCGTCCCCCGGCTTTCTCCTGCCTCCCTCATCTATCGCCAGTTATGGACCTCACGTAACCCCCACGCCTCCTGTTCTGATTGTGGTGTATAAAATAAGGTGCAAAACTGCCGTTTTCTGGAGCACTTCCTCTATCATTTGAGATTTTTGCTTCTGGGCTATTGTCAGTTTGGCTCAAATAAACTCATAAAAATTCTTACAAGCTTGGATTCTTACCAGTTTCTTAGCTGTGGTGGGCCCGGGGCACATTTCCCGATCTGGACTCACCCCCGCCCCCCCCCCAAGGCCCAGCACCGTGCAGGTCTCACCGGCCCCTCGCAGGGCCCCTGCCCGTGGTCCCGCAGGCCCCGCCCCCCAGCCCAGAGGGAGTCCCGCCCCCGCCGGCCCACTCTGCCGCTGCCAGGTGGGGTTGGGTGCCTCCTGGGTGCAGCCCAGGACCAGCCCCTATTGCCTGTGTCCTGGGAGCTCAGCAGGGTCCCGGTGAACAAGGACATGGGTGGGCTCTCGATGACAGAGGAGGCAGCGGTGGTGTGCGGGACAGGGGCGATTCCAGGGCATTTGGTGGCAGCCTTTCCCATCAGGGCCAGCGGCTGGAGGGGAGGGGACGGGGTGCCTGGAGAGCACCCCCCGGCCAGGCCTCGGTGCGGTAGGCAGTGCCCCGTGGCCCAGGCCTCTCTGAGGTCACATACTTTGCCTTCCTGCCTCGGAGCACCCACGGGAGGGTGTGGACACCGGAGCAGAGAGGCATGCCGCCTGTCGGGGAGCAGGCGCTGGGACCGCCCAGCCGTGGCAGCCCCCAGGCCCCGGGAGACTGTGGGGCAGGGCGGGGCCACCGCCCCTCCGCCGGCCCTCCTCTGTCTGTCTGGCTGGGCCGCACCTGCAGGGCCTGCCCCTTCGGTTCCAGCCTGGGGTCCTCCCGCCGCTCCCCGCCCCTCCCACCGCCTCCTGCGGGCCCTGCTTCCGGGGCGGGGGGGGGCCTGTGGCCTTTGAGCCCGTGGCCCGTTCCAATGGAGGAATGTCCTCAGATTTAGAAGGCTTGGTACCAAAAAAAGGATGTTTTTGGTAACATCAAAAACTTTCATCACTAAGTATCTTAAAGCTATATGTGGAGATACTATATTGGATATGTTGGTTCCAATCAAGCGGATCATTAGAATAAACCTCACGCGGTGCTTTGCTTCTGTTCAGTGTGGCTGCTGGACGTGAGAGGCTTGCCGCCCTCGCCTCGCTGCGCTCACATGGTCGTGGTGTCTGGGGCGGGGAAGGGGACCTGGCCGCTGCCACGGGCGACGTGGCGAGCCCAGGAGGAGGCCTCAGGGCGAATCGGAGGGCCACCCAGCGGAGGCGCCCCTGGCCCGTCCCCCGGTGCTGCGTGGCGGCCGGCGCTCGCTCAGTCCGGCTCCAGCCCTGGGTCCCTGCACAGCAGGTGGCGGGGGTCCCAGAATGCCCCGCCCCCGCTGCCACCCCCACCTGGCGGGGGCACGGTCAGCTCGACGGGAAGGGCCCCTGTGAGAAGCACAGCGCCCATGTGACATCTCAGGGTGGCCAAGCCTGTCTGTAGCGAATGTCCCAGGACCAACGGCCAGAAAGCGGGGAACGGCTTGGAGCGCTCACGGACAGGCGAGTGCCTCGGCCGGGCCAGGGGTCTAGGCCGCTGCTCCCGTGAGTGCGCGCACACCACACGCTGCCCCAGCGGGCGTGCAGCCCAGCAAGGATGTGGAGGCCGTGTCTTCGCAGGGGAGGGGGGTGGAGGGTGGGGAGTCCAGGCTCTGGGGGGCCATGAGTGGGCATCCTGAGGGAAAAGCGGGTCGGGGCAAGGCCCAGGTGGCGGAGGTGGGGTGCAGGCGGGGCGCGGTGAGGGCCGAGCGGGGAGCGGCCGAGCCCAGCGCTGGACCCGGCACGAGGAGCTCACCTCGGGGGCACGCACGCACGGCCTGGGGCCAGGGCTTGGGGTCTGCACGGCGGGACGGACACGCGGCGGGGCGTCCGAACAGTCAGCAGGACCGCGGGGTTAGCCCGGTGCCCCTCAGGGTGGGCTGCTTCCTGTCCCCACCCCAGGCTGGGGCTGGGGTAGGGGCGGGGGTGGGGCTGGGGCAGCTCTGAGATCCGACACGGCAGCCGCGGCCAGACGTCCGCAGGCCGCCAGGCCCTCCTGACCCTCCGGTGGCTGCAGAGGACTTGGGGGGGCCCCTGGAGGGGGCGGGGACGATGGCCCTGAAGCTTTCGGGACCCAGAGCGGGTGCCTGCGGCCACGCCGCCGGCTGCTCCCCACGGGCCCTCGCTTCTCCGCAGCAGGCGGCGGCCTTGCATCCCGGGGCGTCGTGTGGTCTCCCCTGCTGCCCGGCCCCTGCCTGACGGTGGGGTGCAGCGTCCCCTGGGCCTCCCTGGACCTGGGTGTCTGGGGTTCCGCGGCGGCCTGAGCCCGCCCCCTCTGAAAGCAGCCCCTCTCCCGAGCGCCCCCAGGTCAGAGCTCCCAGCGAGCGCCTCGCCTTCTCGGAATGTCCCTGGCAGGACCAGGATGTGCGGTGAGTCACGTTCCCAGCATTTCCGCTGGCTGCTGCCTGGGACTCCCAGAGTCTGTTGTTGGGTTCTTGCAATTTTTCCTCCCTGGGAAATGTAACAATTTACGGCAATGCGCCTAAGTCATCAAACGAATGCCTCACCCATCGCAAACGTGCAAACACCTAGGAAAACGAGCTGCAGTCCTAGGAGGAGGCCCACCCCCGTCCCGCGGGCAGGGCCTCGCCCCGCCCCACCACCCAGCACCCCCCCCCCCACCGTCAGCCCGGCCCTGACTGTCACCCGTGTCCTCCCCCCAGGGCTGTGCTGAACCGCACCGAGCGCAGGAGGCAGCAGGCCGCGCGGCTGGACCTCCCCTGGTTCAGCGGCTGCGAGGGCCACCATTTCTGCGCAGCTGTGTCCCCGCCCTCAGCAGCATGGCCGGGCTCACGTAGGTGGCCGTGGGCACCGCTCCGTGTGCACAGGTTGCCCGTCCTGCAAGGGTTCAACGGCTCCTCGGGGTGTCGCCACTGCTGGCAGAGAGCCCACGGGAGCCAGGCCGCGAGGGCGGCCCGATGCGCCCGCTCTCCTCTGGGGGACTGCGTTCTGTGGGACCAGCCGAGCCGGGCCATGGGCCCCCTGCAGGCCCCGACCTGGGGCCGGGCGCCCGGTCCACCGCTCCCGTCGGCCCACGGAGGAAGGGCCCCCTTCCTTGCCTCTCACGGCCACTTGCCGGCTGCAGGGACGACCGCTGGGGGGGCGAGGACTTGGCACCGGGCAGCCTCCCCGAGGCCTCTTGCGAATTCTAATCCCCGCTCTGCCTCTGACGTCACCACGGCACCTGGAAGCGTGGCAGTTCCGCACTCCGTTCCTGCCCCCTCGGGGGTCATTCACCAGCGACGACGCGACCCTGCGGTCTCTGCCCATCGAGACGGCCGGCACGCGTCCCGCCCGACCACGACGCAGGACCTCGGGCCGGCCCCGCGCCCGCCCCCCGCCCGGCCCCGGCGGCAAGTCTGCGACTGTGTCCTGGCTCACCGAGAGCCGCGCTGTCCCGGCCGGCGCGGCTGACGCTGACTGCGTGTCCCTGGGCGCGGGCGCCCCGACTCCCGGCTGCCGGCCTGAGGGGGAGGGGTCCCCGAGGGCCTTGCTGGGAAGCCGGCCCTCCGTTTTGTTTCCCGGAAAACATCGTCACTTCTCCTCCGTTCCTGGACAGCGTTTTCGCGGGGTGCGGAATTTTCGGGTGGCCGCGGTGACCCGTCCCACAGCCCCCTGGCCCGCGGTCGCTGTGACGCCCGCCCCAGCTGAGTGCCACCCCCTCCGGAAGCCCGTGCTCTCGCCTGCCCTCTGGCGTTTTGTTCGTGGGATTGGTTCTCTGCAGTTTTGCTGGGACGCGCGGAGCGTGGGCGCGTCCTCCGTTGTTCGGGTCGGGCCTGCTCCCTGCTCGGGGTTCGCAGATCTGCGGGTTCGCGGCTTCCAACGGTTTTGGGAAGTTCTCATCCCGTGCATGTTCGCACACTGAGCCTCCCTCGCCCCCCACGAACCGCATCGGAACCCCGAGGTCCCGCGCAGCGAGCCTCCTCCGCTCCCGCCCGCCCGCTCGCCTGCCGCTGCCTGTGGGCGTCAGGTCTGCGCCGCCCGGAAAGGGGGCCTCCCGCCCGCCTCCCGCGTGGGGCCGCGGGGCAGCTGCGCGGGGACAAGGCGCCCGGGCCGGGCGGCACCGCCCACGTGCTGCTCGGGCCTCAGGCACCCCAGGGCGCGCGGCTGGTTCGGGCCGACCCGCAAGGGCACTTGTCGCGGTGTCCCCTTCCGCACGGAAAGGCGGACAGTTCCCGTTCACCTGCAGGGGGTCACCGCACAGCTGGTGTGCTGCCCGGAAAGGCCAGCGTCCAGCGCGTGTGTCACCGGAGTCCCTGCGGCTGCTGGGCCACGTGTTCCTGTGTCTCTGGGTGCCCCGTGCGCAGCGGGGCGCAGGCCGGGGCGGCGCCTCCCCAGAGCGGCCCGACCTGGCTCTGGCGGCCGCAGGACTCGCCCGGATCCGGTTCCAAGACGGCGAGTCCGCTGTGTCTCTGGACATTTCCTGAAGTTGCAT